ATATATATATATATATATATATGTTATATAAATTTTATATATTTTTTGAGCTACCGAATATAAATAATTTTTGGCGCGGGCTAAAAGTGAAAAAAGTCAAAAAGAAATTACACAGCGTGCTTTTGCGAATAATTTTCTTTTTTCTCCCGAAATTGTTATCTCTAGTGATTGTAACCGATCGAGCCATCAGGGACTTATGTGCTACAGTGGAAAACTTGATGCTGTTAGTCAAACTTGGCAATTGGCATTCGACGACAACGCCTTTCATCTAGACTACCCACGTAAATCTGCCACCCCCTCGCGAATTCCCGTCGTCGCTCCGGCGTGCCCTTCCCCGGAGTTATTCATGACCCTCGTTGCTGAGGTGTCAACCACATGCCAGGCGCAAGGATGAGAAAGAAATCTAATAGTAGAAGAATTAACCCCCTACCTCAACAACCTTCAATGGCTTCTGCCTCTCCTTTTCTTCTCCATTACAGAAAGATCTCCGTCCTTGTCTTTTTAATCCTAGTTGTTTGTTTAATAGTATTTTTAAATACTTCATCGACAAAGGAAGGCGTGTTTCAATCCGATATGCCGTCTAATCAGCTTTACACAGTCGAAGTGATCAATGAGTTCCCTCACGATCCTGTCGCTTTCACTCAGGTTCGTTTTTTCTTTGACTTCTATTAATTTTAGTTGATCCTCTAGATTTATGTTGAGTTCTAGCGCCTCTTTCATTCAATTTGTGTCATCAGAAATAGGGATTGGAAATTCAATTCGCATAAGAAAAAATGATGTCCAATTAGAGTATTTTCTTAGCATCTTTTTGGGCATTTGGTAGTTTGATTGAGCTACTAGAATAAAATGGACTATATTCTATGTGTTTCAAATTTTCTTTCAAATATTTTTGAATTGTTTCGTTGGCTTTGCTGCTGGCAAGTAATGTACCTAAAACAGAGAGACCTAATTCCTTATCAAACACATGTTGCAGGCCAGGCTGAGTTCTCAATTCTCATTTCTCTTAGGCATGAAATTAGAGCTAGTACAATTAGAGTATTTTCTTAGCATCTTTTTGGGCATTTGGTAGTTTGATTGAGCTAACTAGTAATAA